TAATTTTTAAAAGTAAAAATAATAAAATATAAAAATAAAAATAAAATAAGGCTCATAAACTAATCAAATTACACACATAAAAATAACAATTTATATGAATAATAAACCTTAACCTAAATACTTAATAGGCATAATAACAGCAACATGTACAAAGTCTATCCTTTTTCTAAACTAAACTGAGTACATAAATACATGCATACAAATTCTCAATATTAATTCAGTTAGAGTATTGAAAAGTTCCAGATAATGCAATTAGTAATTACCTGCTCTCCACGTGTGGCTTTTTATCCATCCAGTCCTTCCCATTCCCCATCCCCACAATGTAGTTCTGTTAAAAAAAAAATTAAGGTAGAGCACCAAATATATATGTTTAAATATTTGACAAAATACCAAATCTAAGAAGCTGAAATCTACAGATATTCAAAAGGTGAAATTTTCAATTTGGTCTTTAAACTATTATATGTACTCTTGATTTGGTCCTTAAATTAAAAAAATTTCTAATTTAGCCTCTAAACTATTGTACGGACCCCTAATTAGGTCCTTAAACTATTATATATACCTTCAATTTGGTCTTTATTATTTACAAATTTATCTTAAGTTGGTCTTTTTGTATTAAAAAAAAAGCTGACGTGTCCATTGCTTAATAGCAAAAAACAATAACTTAATGATAAAAAACAGTAACTTAACGGTCATATATCACGTTAATAACAAGAGTTGTTAGTTGGTTTTTGTACAAAAAGACCAATTTGGGGTAAATTGGTAAATAGTAGGACCAAATCGGGGTTTGTACAATAGTTTAAGGACCAAATTAAGAATTTTTTTAATTTAGAGACCAAATCAGGGATCTGTACCATAGTTTAGGGACCAAATTGGAGATTTAACCAATTCAAAAATGATCAAGCATGCTCATCACCAACTACACGGGCAGATGATCAGCTCTACTTGCAAAGACTCAACTAGTCGATCCATTAACCGTTGCCTTATTTTTTTTGTGTTCAGCCGAAAATCCACTCGGAAAAATCTGGGAAGGCATGTACTCAATTGTGCTGAACAAGAAATCAAGGAATAAATAGGGGCGTTAACAATTTGTTTAATGGCTGCGACCTTGCCTCTTCTGAGAAGGTTCTCCAGACTTCTCCAATTGCGGTCTTCTTCATCCATTCCCAAGTATCGCAGCTCTTCTGCTCGTCTTCTAGAATCTTCTATTTCTCTCGAGTATACTACTCGCCTCCTTTCTCCGTCGGCGGTTTCTTCTAGAAGCTTCTTCACCCGTCCTTCTCTCAATCTCGATGGCGATTCTCAAGGCCCTGCCGCCATCGATTACCGGTACTAGCCCTCTTTTGTCCGAGTAATTTTGCAAAATTTGATTACTTCGACAAAAAATGAATGCGTTCGATTGTGGTTGCTCAATTTCATTTTTATTTTACTTAAAAGAAGGATTAAAGTCAATTTTCTAATGATTAATGTGAATGCAGTTCGCTTCTGCAGGAGGATGAATTTCATAAGATAGCTAATTCCACTATCCACCACCTATTAGAGAAATTTGAGGTAATTATATCCCATTTTAGGGTTTTCAAAATCTTTAATTTGCTTTTTTAAACGTATTTGATTTTTAATGGAAATAATCAAGTGTTCTAAATGTGAAAGCTTTATTCTAATTTTTGTCAGATTTACAAATGTGCACGCTAATAGTTTGTTATGTACTTGGATGCTCCGTAGGAATATGGTGACATTGTTCAAATTGATGGTTTTGATGTGGATTATGGGGTACGAGTTGATTGTTGGAGTTAATTAGTTGTTTGTAAATTCCTTTTTTGGATTTCCTAACTTTGCCTGCATTGGGCAGAATGAAGTCTTGACCATTAAATTAGGTGCTTCAGGCACCTATGTGTTGAATAAACAAACCCCAAATCGACAAATATGGTTGTCTTCCCCATTGAGGTAAAAGCGGCATTGCTTCTCATATTTTATGGTCGTCACTGTCTTGTAGAAGAGTCTATGCTTAAAATTGTGTTTGGGGGAATTATGTAGATATCTGTGCTTTTCTAAATCTGGTCGTGAATCATTTTTTGTTCATTGAAGCTGTATTTGTCAGTTGCTTATTCTTTTGAACTGAATTGAATAATTTGGGCTGAATATAAATAAAGTTTACCATCTTTGTTTTAGCACTAGAGTAATGGGGAATCTCGAAGTTCTAAGTTGGTATTGCTGAAGTTCAACATGTTCTCAGCTCAATTAGTTTTGTTGGAATAAGAAAGTTAATCCAAATGTTAGGATCTGCTATTCACCATGTTTAGGAATTTCAAATTTTGTGGGTCTAAGACTAGAAATATGTGCAGGACATAGGATGAGTTAAGTGACTGGACTAAAATTTTCAAACTATGCATATGGATTTGCACTGATGGTCAGTTTCCTGGTGAAATTGAAGTTGAATGATGTAGGACTTTGTTGTGCTGCCTATTGTCTTTATATAAGTCGAAATTATGAAATGGTTAAATGCTAGAATTGATGAGTATGTATTCATATCCTAAATTAGTTTTACAACGAAAGCTTTGATGCTCAATGTCAATGCACTTCAAAATGGCCTACTTTATTTAAAAGTTCAGCTCATCTTCTAATGGTAACTGTTTCCTCTCAGCTAGAAATCTTACTAATGAGAGGAGTTTCTGAATTCTGAGTAAATTATAATTATCTAAATTAGCATGCTGCATAATGATCAATTTATGCATCATGATCAATTTATTCATATGTACAGTAAAGATTCTCATTAGAACTGTTGAAACTTGAAAGTTGTTAATCTGTTCCTAATCTTATTAATCAATTTTATGGGGGGACTTTGTTGTCTTGTGAGTTGTTTGTCCAACTTCCAACCACCAAAACTAACAGAGTAGGGTTTATTGTTTAGGCTCTGAGTCCTGTTAAGAAGTGACTGGTTATGTTGGTAATTGCATTTACCAGAAGTTCAATGGAGTTTCTCCAATCATATAAATATAATTTGAATTTTATGTTTTTTAGCACTGTAAAGCTCGCCTTGGTGCTAGGTACTGTTGGAGCTAAAGCCCCCCTAAACTTTAGTAAAAATAATTTGGTCCACTAAGTTTTATTTTTATTATTTCCTTCCTTAATTATTTTATATCCTTTTAATCATTTTTTAATTTTATATTATTGAATATTACTTTTAGTGATGATGACAAAGATGAGGAAAATAAAGATAATTTGAAAGATGCGGAAGCTAAAAATTTTCAAGATCATCCTTTCACAAAGTGTTTGTTCAACGTTTTCCTTTCTTTCTTTTTTTTTTATTATTATTTTTTTCCTTTAATACTCTTCTACCCAATATATGTTCATTTTGTCCTTCAATTGATTGCATTTATACTACATCATCGTCAACCACCATTAGTAGTTTTTTCTTAAAGACTTAACAAATTTAATTTAAAACAATTTTCTTTAAAAATAAAATAAAATTCTTTTATCAACTTTCCAATTGAGCATCTTGGTCAAGGTTTTGTTTTGCCCCCCTAAAAAAAATTTTGTTGGTGCTAGGTGTCTGGTGCCTGACCTAGATAGCTAGTCACCTAGCCACAGCACCTATGGATTTTTGCAGCACTTTTAAACAGTATAAGATGTTCTTAGGCCCAATACATCAGGCCAGTCCTCTTTTCCAACATTATTAAACACTAGGATATATTTTTAGCACCAATACTGACATTTTTTATGAAAAAAGAAAAAAAAAACAAAAAATCACCTTGGCCACTGGTGCCTCACCTAGGTGCTTGGCAGTGGTTCAACACGCACCTTTGTGTAGCACTTTCTGCAACACTGGCTTTTAGAGTAAAAGCAAATATTTATGTCCTGTAATGTTGTAATATTGGTATTATTTGGTTTTTCCCAGGCTTACCTGAGTGTCAATAATTTAGTTTTCTTTCCAGAATCAGGATTTCTAGATGGTCAGTGAGGCACGTGGAATCCAACGTGCAAGTCCTATAATCTGTTTTTAACTTCACAGATATTTAGTATTTGCTTTTTGGTTGCAAAGTGCTCCTATCACTTTTCACTACCACTAGTTATGGGAGGATTATGTTTGTAGTTTTTTGATATTTTTCCCATTGTTAAAAGATCAACATGATGAACATTTTTGTCCCCATTTTTTGGTCATTCTTATTCTCTTGTTCCCACACGACAGCCTACCCTCCCCTATTTCTCTCTGAAGAAGCAAATAATTATGTTTCTCTACACTCAAGAAACCTTCTGGTTCTGTGGTAAGTTGATGAGATTGGAAGTAATACAGATTGTAGCACGTGTATTTTTCCAATGGTAGCAACAGTTTCATGGCTAGTTATCCTATTAAATTGAATTAAAGCAAAGTGTAGGTTTTATTATATCTTCTGAAGTCATATTGATCTGGAATATTCTAGCTGGAATACAGAAATGTGATTCTTTATAGTTTTGCTGGTTCCTTCTGACTGTAATATACTCCCTCGTGGCATCAAAAGGTCAGAGTCTGTGTTGTCTCTGTAAACATCTACATATGGCATAAGAAGTCAAATTGCAAATGGTTGAGGCTGGTCTGAGATCTTTGAATCCGAAGAGAAGGAAAGTTTTCTTACCATTCCTTGCACGGATGCCATATGGAACTACTTAGGAAAAATATGCATTTCTTTTTTATAGTAAAATATTTCTTATTTTTGGCTTAGATACCTAAATTACCTTTGTCCAATTCTTTGTAAGAGGCTGACTTTTACTATTCAATTACAATTCTTAGATGCTGAAAATGATGTGTTTATAGATTTATATGAGATTGGGACTCTAGCTGCCAAGGATGCTTCTCTTACACAGCTTTTGTTTAAGACATGCTCATGTTCCTTTTACCCTGTTCCTAATTTCCTATTATGGCCATTTGGGTTGTTGAATTATTAATCAGGACAGCAAACTTGGTCCTTTGTACTTCAACATCTTTTTGTGGGTTCTAACTTGCTAGTTTGGAATGTAATTTTTTCTATGCAGTGGTCCATCCAGATTTGATTGGGATTGTAATGCTCAAGCTTGGGTGTACCGTCGTACCAAAGCAAATTTAGTGTGGCTTTTGGAAACTGAGTTGGAGCAACTTTGTGGTGAACTAATTGATCTTTCTTGAATTGTTCCACATTCAATGAGTTTCTATCCTTTTTTTGGTACATGTTTCTTCCATCTCGTAATCTTGTTTCATCACTAAACTCTCTCTTTTACTGAATAAATTGCATCCAAAAGGGTTTTTGAAAAACTAGAAATGTAACTCCATTGAGTATCGCATGTGTTTTTGGTTTTGATTTTGATTTTTTTAATATTTTTTTAGTAACTGAAACTACATATACGGCAATTCAGGTCTTCTAAAAGTAGTATTAGTTGCTAAATTTAAAATAACCAAAACAAAAACCAGAAACAGCAACAGAGAAAGAAGTCTTGAAGGAGGTTCCCATCCAGCCGAACAAGTTCTGGTTTAACCGCCTCTCTAAAAGTTTGTTGAGTCAGACCACATTCTTTTATCAAATTGGAAGCCTTTGTTATCTGATACTGTCTTGTGAATTAGCATAGACCATATCTTATGTTTAACCTATTATTCTGTTGAGATGGATAGCTCTAGAAAAGTAATCGTAAGTACATGCGGAGTCAGTATGTTGTCATCTAGAGTTGTGAATATAACAGGAATTTGATTGTGATAGAAAGTGTAAATTGCCTCTCAATATTTTAGAGTTGAAGTAAATTTTAAAAAAAATTAAAGTATTTATCAAAAAAATTTGAAGTGAATTGTCACATCAAAGTATTATTTTAAAGAAGTAGGGTTAAATTTAACAATTATGTTAACACAATTATTTATTTTGCTGATAACAAAAAATGTTAACACAATTATTCTTATGTTCAAATATTGTCCTTGGTTTTAGGGGCAGAGTTAGGAATTTTAGTTAGGGGAGGTCGACTTTTCAAATCTTAAAATTATGTATTGTAATTTTGAAGATTTATTTTCATATCATATATTAAAATAATGCTTGACAAGTTTTCATATCACAAAATGTATTTATAATATTGTCTATACTAAATGATTGAATTATTTTTTTTTCAATATAAACAATCAATTCAATATAAACAATCAATTCAATATAAACAATCAAAGAGTTTGAGAGAGATTCATTCTCCATTTTGCTGAAAAGTTTCATTTTCACAATTTTTATGATAAAAAATATTTTTTCTGTTATTGCTATAGAAATTGGAAGAGTAAACATCAAAGTAATTAACTTCTAAATGAAATTATAGACCTCTAATTTTCTTGCCTCCAGAAGCCATTGACATAGTTCAGAAATACGGTAACATCTTATCTCTTCGCTCTACCACTTTCTATAAGCAAGTAAATTTTTTTTCCCTTTTACAAGTTAATTACACTTTATACGAGTTTATTTTCCTTTTATACTAATTTATGTTCCTATTACTTTTCTCTATATCATTATATTCAATGTTTTTTCTTTTATTGGATTCATATATGTTCCCTTTATAGATTTGTACTTACTTTCTTTTTTTCAATTTTTTTACTCCAATTCAATTTTATTCCATATAACTTTAATATTATCATAATATTCAATTTTATTTGTAATCTCAACAACATAACTCTAAATCCTAAAAGAAAATTATACAAGTTTTTATGATAATAAAAAATTAATAAGTTTTGTTAGTTAAATATTACTCCTTCCATACTAGAATAATAGATTTTTTTGTTTTATTTTCAAATGAAAGATTTGAAAATAATTTTTATTTTTACCTGTTTTATACTTAAAAATAACTAAAAATAAATATCTACTTCCATAAGAAAACAAATAATTAAAATTAAAAGATAATTATATGGTTAAAGTAGAAAAAAATTATTTATCTTCCTTAAAATAATAAAAAAAAAGATTATTATTCTGGGATAAATTCTAAATAAAAAATATCAATTATTCTAAAATAAAGAGAGTATACTAATTTTTTTATTAGAACATATCTATTAACAAGTATAAAACAAAATTTTAAAATAAGATAAAATAACTTACAAAACTTTAAAGTTGAAACCCAATATGACAATATGACAATATATGATTCATATAAAAAAAAGATAATGTTGTTTTATTCTTTACCAAGAAGTTAGTGGTCCCTTTAGTGGTCTTTAATTTGTCTTCAAGCTTTCAATAAGGAGAGCAGTGTTGCACTGGCTTGCATCGAGCCGTCGATGGAGTTTCTTTTTTCTCTTTTTTCTTATTTTTTTGAAGTTGATTAGTTGAAGAAGATTGATACCGAGACAGTGGGGTTGAATATTGGAGAAATGAGATAGAAGACACAAGAACTAGTTTTTCTTCTTCTTCTTCTTTTCTACAAAATTCAGTTGTGGGCTTAAGATAGGTGAGTTTTAATTTTTAAATAATAATAAATAGTTAAATTGTTAAAATGAATAATTAATTATATAAATTATATTTGGACTCTTAAAATAACCCATATTATTGGATCTTTTTTTATTTTATGTATTTTAACAATTAAAAATATAATATTTAAAATTTTAATAATAATAATAAATTAATTAATTATATATATTTTTTCAAATCCCAAGGGGGCGGTGGCCCATCGTCTCCATGTGGCTCCACCACTACTCGGATTCTAATGAAAATATGACATTAACCCTCAATTTCAATCGATTTTTCTTAAACAAAGTTTTGAGGGAGTGGTATAAGCTCTTTGTAAGATTAATATTAGTATAAATAGGGAAGAAATTTATTCACATGTAGATTTTATATATTATATTTATATAAAATTTTAATAATTTTTTTTAATATTTGAGATTTATTATAACTATTAAGATAAAAAAATAAATATTTTTAATAAATATAAATAAATTTTAACTATTAAAAGTAAAAAAATAAATTATTAAAATTTTGTGTAAATAAATCTTTACTCATATAAATATGTTATTTCTATTAAAAAAAATTAAGTGGTGATTTGCTTCAACAATTTTATTGAGTGCCAAAGTGCTAATGTGCTTCTCCCAAAAATATTTTTGAGGGGTGATTTGCACATTTGGATTTCATTATCTATCTTAAAACAACATAAGAAATTGTGCGGGAATTCCATTTTTCTGTGGATAAATGGTGGATGGTCGGTGAAATTATCTCTTAATTATGAAGTTATCCATACTTTAATTGCTTCATTTTTATTTTTGATTATAGGTTGTACTACCATAGCAATAATAGGCTTCACTTTTTTAAAATTTTTCTCCATTTATTTTATGATTTAAATTGGAAACTTTCAACTTAGTTAAGTCTCAAGCTTTTATTATCCTTTTCGAGCTGTGTAGTTGATATTTATGGAATTATAGAAGATGCCTGGGGCATGTTTGTTCCCTTGTTAGAAGAATAAATGCGTTTGTTGGGGGTTGTTGCCTGTTACATACTTGCAGTACACGTCTGAAACAATTTCTTCCCAATCACCTTATAGCTTCTTGCCTGCCGAGCTTGTGATGGACATAAAACCTCGGTTGTAACCTTGTCTAATATCAAAGTATAAAAAACAAAGCACATTCCTTCCCTGGAATCGTCAGCTTGTGTTTTACGATTGAATTAATCTCCCAATAAACTGTATATAACGACTTTACCCCACCCCAGCAAGTGAGAGGCCAAAATTTGATACGTGTAGGGTCCGTCAACAACTGCGTCCACATAAAACAAAATCCCCTCAATACCCAGAACTAAAGAATTCTCCAGTCATTGTCAGCTACAAAAGTAATATAATTACAATAATACATAATATTATAATTTATAATTGTAATATAAAATTAATACATATCAATTTTATTTATTAAAAAAATT